TAAATAAATTAGCATACTATTAGCCTGTGGCAGGACTTCAAAAATGGCCACAATACAGACATATCAGAGCCCAATTTTTTAAGCAGTACCATCTGAATAATTCTGGCCTGAGAGTGTCCCAGATCCCATCTATCAGAGAAAAGAATTCTTTGAGAAAGAAGGTCTTTGTCATTTGAACCCATGAGGACCACATGAAAACTGGTTACAGTGGTTACACGAAGCACTGGATCATGCCAGTGCTATACCTCCTGGTTCCACATCAGCTGTGCTAAGCTTTATCCTGAGGCTCTTAAACAAGACCTTCTGCCTTTCTGTTCCTCAACTTCCTCATCTGCAAAGAATGGATCATTGTATCCATCCCCTAGGGTTATCCTCAGAATGGCCTATAAATACACCAGTGCACTAAATGCTTAGAGCTGTCCCTAACGTGGTGAGCACACATAGTAACAACCACCAGAGAGGAATGCAAGCTTCTAGGGGTCATTTCATTCTGTTCAGAAGACAACATGGCTGCAGAAAAGAATTCCTGGACAAAATCCCTACTCTGTTCTGTTCTGTTCTGTCTTTATACTAGGCTTGCCCACTTCTGGTTCATTTACTTAGTTACTTATTGTTTAACAATGTCTTACATATAATGTATTTTGATCAACACCCCTTCCCCAGTCAGCCTCTCGTATCTTACTCCTACGTCCACCAAATCCTTTCTTCCCAACATCAGCTCAACAATAGATACTTTACACTGGGCTAAACAATACATACCAGGTTCAACAACATACACATTCTGCCAAGTCTTTGGAAACCCACCTCCAGTCCCCTGTCCTTGTCTTTCTCACCAACCTGATTTCTGTACTGTCTGTCAACCTCATGGGACATTCACGTATTAAGCTGCTGTTTCAGTCTGTTCTTCAGTACCTAGTGATAGCTGGGTTGTTGTCATGGAAACTGGTTTTTGGCAATGAGAAACATAACATGAAGGGATTTTTCTCTTGTTTTAAAGCTATGGTTATAAGAACATCCAATGTGCCGGGTGTTGGTGGCACACGCCTTTAATCCCAGCATTCAGGAGGCAGAGGCAGGCAGATCTCTGTGAGTTCGAGGCCAGCCTGGTCTACAGAGCCAGTTCCAGGACAGCCTCCAAAACAATACAGAGAAACCTTGTCTTGAAAAAAAAAACCTAAGAACATCCAATTTATAGGTAATCAATAATAATCAAACTATTTATTTCTCAGAAACTAACCCTTAATCAGAAAGAAAGAGAACTGAAGTTACTAAGCCCAGTGCTGTTTGCAATACATCTGTGCCTTTTAGAGCACTCTGGGGTCATGAGACAGGGGCTTTGCCATTGCGCAAGCCTGGATTTGAACCCAGGTTATCCTCTTACAGGCGTTTGATAATGAGCAAGTTTTAGGAGTGGAGAGAGATCACACTGGTGATCTGTTCTACAGGGACACAGATGCTCCTTAAAATAATCACAAGTGACAAAGTCAGAGGCGAGGAGTGCTATTTAGAATGAAAGGGCTGAAAAATGACAGTCACATCCTTTTCTCCCGTCTTAACCACACTCTCTATTTAAGGATCTTAGCCAGGAGGCAAAAGAGGAAACACAAATTGTGAAATGAGGACAGTTATCTCTAACAGAACAAAAAGAGAAACATGGGTTCATGAGATGGCTCAGCAGGAAATGCACTGGCTGCCAAGCCAGATGACTTAAGTCTAATCTCAGGAACCACATGGTAGAAGGAGAAAACCGACCTCGGCAAGTTGTCCAGTGACCACAGCATACACACTGTGTACATGCTTCATACACACAGAGAGAAAGAGAGAGGAAACAAAGAAGAGACATATTACAGTTTATACCATTGGTCAACGACCCCAAGACTTGACAAAATTGCTACACCAGCATTTTCCAATGTTGTATTTTTTCCAACCAAAATACCCTAACCTGAAAATAATTGTTTCATAAGACATAGGAGAAAGGCTTGTGCAATTCCTATCCTGGAATTCTTTTATTATTACTTAGCATATCTTTATCTGAGCAGCCACACCCGTGACTCCTAAAGTCTCCAAAGAAGGAGATTCTCATGGTTCTTTCATCAGGATTGATTTGGAACCACCACACATCTCAAAAGTTGTCGAGTTTGTGTACTTGTTAATGTCCATCTTCATTTATGTGGTACCTACTTAGGTGGTTCCTAGATAGTTAGGTATGTAGGTAGGTAGGTAGGTAGGTAGGTAGGTAGGTAAGTAGGTAGGTAGGTAGGTAGATAGATAGATAGATATAGATAGACAGACAGATGATTGATAGATATTTTTTGGTTTTTCGAGACAGTATTTCTCTGTGTAGTTTTGTAGATCAGGCTGGCCTTGAACTCACAGAGATCCACCTGCTTCTGCCTCCCAAGTGCTACCTGACCAGATAGATAGATTTTTAACCCACATATTATATACCTGAAAGAAGCTTAAAATATAAGGAAGTCAAGAATTTTGATGTCTAATTGGAAATTCCCAGTTTCAGGTTTACATCTGCAAATGACAAACTATTTCTGAAACAAACAGTTTTATGAAATATCAAATTATACGGTTGGGGGTATAGCTCAGTGGTGAAGGACTTTTGCCCTGGATTTGAATTCCAACATTGAAATAAAACTCAAACAACAATAAAGTGCCAAATTATAAAAATCTTTGTATATTACAGGAGTGTGTAAATGTCCCTGAAGAAATGCGAAACAACATGAAAAGATGCATATTAGATTGAATATTATGTAAATTTTAGTGTACTATTGATGTGTATTTCCACAAGAACTATGAGCCTACATTGTGAAAATGTATATCAATGTGAACTTTTATTATGCTCCCTTCTATTATTTCCTAGATTGACACCCATTGGTAATAATCTCAGAGAATTACTGTGACTGATTAAAAACTATTAAATCTGGGTGCTTCACAGTCCTGAATCTGCCACCCCCACTTTCTAGGGAAACAACCCAATTGCAGATTGGGTCATCTATATTTTTGTGATACAGTGACTATAAAATATACACACACAAACTTTACAACGGCAATTTTGTCATTTTGTATTAAAACAAGGCCTGGCCTGTGACAGTGGCTCAGCAGATAAAGGTGCCTGCCAGCAATCAGAATGGCCTGAGTTAGATTCCCAGAACCTATATGGTGGATGAACAGAACTGATTCCTGCAAGTTATCCTCCGACCTTCATACACACACCATGCAAGATGTGCAACAGCACAAATGCACAGGCACACACACACACACACACACACACACAATGCGATGCTATTCAGTATGATCAGGGAGGAGATCAATTCAATCAAGCATGGTTCCTTTCAGTTCTCAGAGAGGGAAGGCATGGGTGCCAGTTACCCATAATCTATACCCGGCTGTTTAGTTTACATATTCTTTTTAGAAAAGATGTCTCAAAATTCATCCAGCCTAAGAGAAAACCACTAACGACCCACGTAGTCTCCAGCACCAACTCATAATTCTTGCCGCCACAGATACACTGAACACTAGTGGAGATTATCTTTGCTTCAGGAAAACCCAGCAGTGCTAAATAGAGAACTCAGTACCCAAAGTTAGAGAGGGAGTTTCTCCTGACTCTGTCACACCCCAAGCATTGACATCTTAGTCTCTTCAGTGTTTCTTTCTAACCCAAAGTAAATTGGAACCAGATCATAATGTATACCATTTAATGCCCATAGACTTAGGCTGCTTGAAACTAAAAAGGAACAAATGCAACTCTAAGATAAAGTTGCAGCTGGGTGGAGTTGTTCTTTCCTGTAATCCCAGCTTTTGGGAGCCTGAGTCAGGGGGCTTGCCACCAGTTCAGTGCTAGCCTCACAAACACATTAAGAGCTATAGAGTAAGACCCCATCTCAAAAAGTGATTAACCAAAGCAAGGAGTTGGTTGAACACACCTTTAATCCCAGCACTCAAGAGGCAGGAGCAGGCAGATCTCTGGGAGTTTGAGGCCAGCCTGGTCTACAGAGCAAGTTCCAGGCTCCAAAGCTACACAGAGAAACCCTGTCTCAAAAAGAAATTGATGAACCAGTAACTAATGAATTTAATTGAGTTTAAATTAAATTAATTGCCTTCTTATTTGGTTAGAAAGCTACTGATGCATTTAGTCAAAAGCAACATTTCTGAGCTGGTAAACCCACTTGGCTTCCCATCAGTGTGTTTATTCACAGCCTATTGCCCACAGGATGCCAGCAGCCCCTACGTGTGAATGCACCCTGCTGGGAACTTTCCTAACTCAGAGCACACACTGCTGCAAAAAAAGATGAGAAACATTAACAAAATTCAATTTCCCCTGACACAAGGCAATCTTTAGTGTTCGTACATCTCCACTTGTGTTCTTTAAGAGGATACATCTGCCACTTTGGTGATCTGTTATACAAATTCACTAAAGTTGTAAGAACTTGTAGCCCACACCCACCATCACCGCCTCAACCACCCTCACACTTGTGAAACAACACACATAGCATCTTTCAAGAAGCCGGAGAAACTAGCTACATTGTTTTGTCAGCTTTTTATCGTTACTCACCCCCATCCAGCCCACCCCTAATCCTTCCACCACCCTGTAGTGTGATTAAGAATTGAGCAGTCAGTCTTCCAGGTAACTTCTGTTAACAGAAGAATTTGAGGCGTTTTATCAAAAGTCTAAGTGTTTTAAGACATGAAAAAGTTAATCTGGATTTTTACCTTCCACACCCCTGCAGTCTGGAACTCTCAGGCTTGTAAGGGCAAACTTTGCTGGAGCCTGAGCTAGGTTAATTCACTTTTAGAACAAAAATGGTAGTGGAATATGGTGAGGGTGCCCCACTCCAGCACACTGTGGGAATGATGCAATGCTCTCTTATTTCACCCTAATAGAGCCAACATGGAACATCCCTGCAAGGGACGGGCAGAGTATGAAGCAAGCACTAATCCTCGGCAAGCCCCTCTCCAGGTCCACCCTTGTGAGTGGGTTCCCTGCTTACCTTTTTCACCAGGTAACCCTCCCTGATCCGCTTTGGTTCCATGCCTGCAGGACAGACACACAGGGCCACTCTTCAGACGCGTTCACTGAGGAGCGCAATCTCCTCTGAGAGCCGATGTGGTTGTGGGCTGCCTTTTCACAGTGTGGTCTCTTTTGAAATTTCTCTTCTGCTGGTGACTACATGATGACACCCTTTTCCCCTCACTGGGGTGACGAGTAAGAAAGAGGAACTGCACATGCTTTCCTAACGCTGGAAATTAAGTAGTGCAGCTGATTCAAATATTTCCCAGATGTAAACTTTTATTATCATATGTAAAATTCTCCTAAAGAGAAAAAAATGATATGAAATGAACAATAAAACTTTATTGAGTTAGAACTGCCATGCTTGGGAATTATTCTTGAGATTTTAAAAGCTTCCAAGAAGCTGCCTCCATCCCCACATTTCCATGAGCACCAGCCCAGTCAGGTGAGTGCCCAAACCCTTACAATGTCCCCACACTCTTAAGAGGCCCAGGTATAAAGAAAAATGAAATCATGAAACTTTCAGATAAATGAGTGAAAATGAAAAATATTATACTAAAGTAACCCAGTGCCAGAAAGACAGATGGCACATGTTCTCTCTAGAGCTTTAGATGTAAATATGCAACCTGAAGTAACCAGAGAAGCCAGGAAAGTAGAAAGAGATCATAGGAGGGAGGGGGACAATGCACTCCAGAGATGGGTTTAATAGGATATATGTATTGTGAACAGGGAAATGGGGTAGGAGAGGGGCTTTAACTGGGGACAGAAAAGGAGGGGTAACACAGAGGGAGAGGGAGGAAGGAAAGGCAAATAACACTGAGGACCTTTGGGGAAACAGTGTTTTATATGTTTATTTAAAATACATATATGAGGTAGGTGTGTGTGTGTGTGTGTGTGTGTGTGTGTGTGTGTTTGAAGTGGAGTTTTGCCACAAGAATTATAGACCATCTAACACAAACTGCAGTGTCAGTCAGGTATGGGAAACTTCCCTTCAAATTTCTGGTCAGAATGGTCAAGGAAACTCTCAAACCTCTCAAAAAAAATGGTGGCACACACCTTTAATCCCAGCACTCAGAAGGCTGAGGCAGAAGGATCTCTGTGAGTTTGAGGCAAGTTTGATCTATGTAATGAGTTCTAGGACAGCCAGAGCTACATAGTAAGACCCCTGTCTCAGATGGGAGGAAGGAAAAAATTATAGAGGTTAGTTGTCATTTCCCTTGGTTGACTCCAACATCCCAAAGATAGAATCCTATTGCTGAAGACAGCGCACTTCAGACACAGGACATGGAAGACTTGAGATGTAACTGACCTGGACGCCTCCTCCATGACTGCTTATCATAGCATCTGAAGCTGCTAGGCAAGCTGCCAAGGTAGAAAAACTAATCAACAATCCTATCTAGGTACAAAGCTATGAACCACAGCAATGACCTGCATAGCAAAATATTCCCAATGGTGACACTTACATTTTGGGGGTAACCAAAAGCTGTCTAGTTGGATTTAAGGCTCATTTTAAGGCAGGGGATTCATGCTGGGTACTATAAACTTAGCCAACTACCTCTGACTGGAGAGGCCTTAGATCCAGGAGGAGAACCTATTACTGCCATTTTTTAAGTCAAAATGGTATAGTTTCTAGATGTATTCTCGATACTCACACTCTCAATAAGTGTAGCTCTTGACCTTCATCAAAGATGCTTCTTTTTGCAGTACACCTGGTCAAATGTAAAGAACAACTGATCATAGGGTTGATACATGTACAACTCAGTCCCGACACAGAAATCTCAGGGGTCATTGTGAAAAGGAGGAAGAAAGATTATAAGACCCAAAAGACTAGGATGCCTACTGCTAGATAGTATCTTCTAGACAGAACAGGGAAGCTGCACCCATGGATCTCAACAATACAGTTGATTAAATATGACCTGTATAGTAACACCAGTTACTATAGTAACATGATGGGGGAAATCTCACAAGACCACGTCCCAAGATGAAGAGCTACAGCCCATAAACTGCTGCTGAGAGATGGAGAATCAGTTTTCTCCAGGGATGAGCCCCCTGATAGGTTATCCATACCAAGGGGTCAGACCTAAACAGGTGTTCATAAAAGCAACACCAACCCCTAACTGGATCCCATGGGATTTTATGGGGTTTTTGTTGTGGGGATGTTTTCTGGGAAGTAACAATAATGACACAGGGGAAGGCATCATTAAGTTGAGAGGACTGGGAAGAATATGGGAGGGGAGAAAGAGAGAAGTATAAATTATGTAAATAGTGCTCATACATAAAATTCTCTAAAAATAAACATTTTTAAAACTGCCAAGAATTTCTGAACCATCTGGCCAGCATAACAAAGTTGCCTACTCTTAAGTGCATACCTGTTTCTATGCCAGACCCTGTAGTGGATGTCGTTCAGCCAGACTCTTTTAATTTAGTCCCTCAAGAAACCCATGAGGGAAAGTATAGCATTGTTTCTTAGAAATAGGGAAACTCAGACTTGAGAGAGGAATGCTTGTCTCAAGTGACACAGCAGATAAAAACCAGAAGGAAGGGCACCTGCACTGGAGTTCTCCCAGTGGACCAAGAGCAGACTAGCAGAGTAACATTACTACATCCCAGCTTTTACTGGAGAAGCTCCCTTAATGGTGTGTCTCGAGCTTATTCAACTGAAGAATTCTTTTTGAGCAATCCTTAATAACTCTTAGTTGTAGATGAAACTAAAGAAAGAACTCTAACAACCCAGTACCTCAGGATACAATGTATTTGGAAATGGGTCACCATAGACACAACATGAATAGTTAAGGAAAATGAGGTCACACTTGAACAGAGGAGCACCAAATCCAGTTAACTGTTCATATAAGGAAAAGGGACACACAGAAAGGAAACTCCATTGTGATCACAGAGGCAGGATTGTAGTAATGAGTTTATAATCCAAGGGATGCCAAGGGAACCAGCTAGAAGACATAAGCAAGAATGTCTTTCAGAAAACATGGTGCTACAGACTTGTAGAAACATGAGATAAGATCTCTCTGTGTTTGAAGATACCCACTTGAAGATGCTTGATTATGACTGCTCTAAAAATATATAATGCAATTTTGAAAGGCTAATTAATATTCTATAGAATAAACTTTTATAGGACAACAGGAAAGTTACTTAGTCATTCACCCTCTGATTTATCATGTCTTATACAGGGTTAATAATACCTGTCCAACAAGGTCATTCTGAATATTAAATAAGATAATACAAGATAATGTTTAGGATATTGTGTAGAAGCTACACACTACTTTCATATGAATTACCATTATCCTGAGACCAGTACTTCTCAATGTTAAGTTTAACAGAGATTATGTAGAATTCGTTGGGATAGTTTCTTTTTTAACACATTTTTATTAAATATTTAAATTAGAAACAAGCTTGCTTCCCATGTCAGTCCCAGCTCCCTCTCCCAGCAGCCCCCTCAGCCCCCCACCCAATCCCCACTCCATCCCCCAGGAAGGGTAAGGCCCTCCATGGGGAATCTCTAGAGTCTGTCATTTCATTCCAGGGAGGGCCCAGGCCCCCCCCAAAGTTTCCAGATTGAGAGAGCATCCCTCATTGTGGGATGGGTCCCCAAAGTCCATTTGTGTGCCAGGGATAAGTATTCTTCTACTACCCAAAAACCCCAAAGATTGCCTTAGTCTCCTCATTGACACCCACATTCAGGGGGTCTGGATCAGTTCCATGCTGGCCTCTAAGCCATCAGTCTGGGGTCCAAGATCTCTCCCTTGTTCAGATTAGCTGTTTCTCTGGGTTTCACCAGCCTGGTCTTGACCCCTATGCTCATCACTCCTCCCTCTCTGTCACTGGGTTCCAGGAGTTCAGTTCAGTGTTTAGCTGTGAGTGTCTGCCTCTGCTTCTTTCTGTCACTGGATGGAGGTTCTAGGATGGTATCTAAGACAGTCGTCAAAATCATTATTAGGGAGGGGCATTTAATGTAGTCTCTCTACTATTGCTTAGTTTGCCAGTTAGTGTCATCCTTGTAGATCTCTGGAGATTTCACTAGTGCCAGATCTCCCCTCAAACCTAGAATGGCTCCCCCTATTATGGAATCTCTCATCCTGCTTTCCTCTATTCTTCACCCAACTCAACTTTCCTGCTCCCCCATGTCCTCCTCTCCCTTCCTCTTCTCTCCCTCTCTTTTTCCTGGCTCCCTTTCCCGCCCCCACCCTGTACTCCCAATCTGCTCAGGAGATCTTGCCTCATTCCACCTTCTCTGGGGTACCATTTATATTTCTCTTAGGGTCCTTCCTGTTTCCCTGCCTCTCTGGCACTGGGATTATAGCCTGGCACTCCCCTAACTCATGTCTAAAATCCATATATGAGTGAGTACATACCATGTTTGTCTTTTTGTTTGGGTTATCTCACTTAGTGCCATCCATTTACCTGCAAATTTCAAGATTCCATTGTTTTATTCTGCTGAATAGTATTCCATTGTGCAAATGTACCACATTTTCTCTATCCACTCTTCAGTTGAAGGGCATCTAGGTTGCTTCCAGGTTCTGGCTATTACAAATAGTGCTGCTATAAACATAGTGGAACAGATGACTTTGTTGTATGAATGTGCATCTTTTGGGTATATGCCTAAGAGTGGAATTGCTGGGTCTTGTGGTAGATTGATTCCCATTTTCCTGAGGAATCTCCATACTGCTTTCCATAGTGGCTGTACGAGTTGGCACTCCCATCAGCAATGGAGGAGTGTTCCCCTTTCTCCACATCCTCTCCAGCATAAACTGTCATTGGTGTTTTTGATTTTAGCCATTCTGACAGAAATAAGATGGTATCTCAGAGTTGTTTTGACTTGCATTTCCCTGATTGCTAGGGATGTTGAGCACTTTCTTAAGTGTCTCTCTGCCATTTTAGTATCCTCTATTGAGAATTCTCTATTTATTTCTGTAGCCCTCTTTTAAATTGGATCCTTTGGTGCTTTGGAGACTTTCTTCTTGAGCTCTTTGTAGATTTTGGAGATCAGCCCTCTGCCTATTGTGGGATTAGTGAATATCTTTTCCCATTCTGTGGGCTGCCTTTTTGTCTTGTTGACTGTGTCCTTTGCTTTGTAAAAGCTTCTCAGTTTCAGCAGGTCCCATTTATTAATTTTCAGTGTTTGTGCTACTGGTGTTATGCTCAGGA